AAGGATTTCTCGTATATAATTATTATTCAATTTACTGTTGAAATATCAGTAACAATTTGAGTATAATCATAAAATGAACTGCAGTTCAATGGTATTGTTGGAGAAGACATTGTTTCAAGAATCCATTCATGATAAGCTGATACACGTGTATAAACTCCCCCACTATTAGCTCGACTACAGCCATCACCAAATGATACAATACCGATAATATACCATCGATTATTGCTATATAACATTAATGGTCCACCTGAATCTCCACGACCTAATTAACATAGAAACGAATGTCACTATATTTGTTACCAAAATGTCAGAGATTAGATTCGATCAGTTTCAAAAAAAAAACACAAACCGATCTCATCTCTGCAAAACATAACGTCTTACAAGCATCTTTTTTTCCATCAGTCCAGCCAGCACATAATTGATAATCATTTGATTCAATAGATGGACAAAGCGAAGATGGAAGCATTTGTAAATCAGCATGCATTAAAACATTAAGACTTGAACTATATTCAGCATTTGAACCCCATCCAGCAACCCAAACTCTAGTAACATTATCAATTGTTTGTTCATTTGTTGCTAAACATATTGTATCAATAAGTGAACTTCGTACAATTGGTTGTTTTAATTTTAATATAGCTATATCATGTAAAAGTGTATTATGATTAAAACCGGGATGAATACAAGCATGTTCAAGTGTAAATGTACGTGATTGTTGTTGTTGTTGTTCATTGTTATTCATATTTCTACTAGTAATTATATCATTATCAATATCAATAACATCAAATGATACACGATATGTATCTTTTAATGATGATTGATAGCGATTTGGTAAACGCATAGTATCAAATGTTGGTAATTGATTACTAAGACAATGTGCAGCAGTTAATAGATAACGATTAGCAATTAATGTTGCAGCACATTTTTGCGTTATGTTTATCCAACGATTTGTATCATCACGAAAATAAACACCAACAACAGCCATCCATGGCCATTGTCCACGATATGAACGATCACCATTAACAATTCGTGCTTGTCGTCGATTAACAGGTAAACCACATTCGGCACATTCACCCGTATCACTTTTTGTTGTATTTAAAGTACAACAATCAAAACGATCACGAGTTAATGTGCATGAACGACCACGTTCACATACTGATGGCATCAATGCACATTCATTTATTTTTGTACATTTACCATTTTCATACATAATATGACCAGGTAGACACTAGAAGAGAAAAAAAAAAGATTTTTCTTTTATTTAAAAAATTTTCTTATTTTTTCTTTTATACTTGACAATTGTATCCATTCGATGAAGATACAACACATTCACTATGAGGACCACATAAATCATTTTGTTCTGCACAAATATTTCTTGGTATACATTGTTCATTATTTGTTTGACTGATTAAACATTGACAATAATAACGACCTGGTAAATTAATACAAGTACTTATACTTGTATTACATGGTGTATATAGAACACATTCATTTATATCAACACACGAATCTTGATGATTTTTACGAGTAAAACCTGGTCGACAACGACATATATAACTTCCCATAGTATTTATACATTGCATATGAAGACCTGTACATGTATGAAATCCAGCACCACTAAGACATTCATTACGATCTATACATGTACATGATGATGTTGATAAACTTCTTTCATATCCAACTGGACAATCACATGGTGATAAACGAATGACAGAATTTGAAGTAAGCATTAGAAGAAAAATAGTTATTAAGAAAAGTACTATAATAAGAGTAAGAACACATATATATCGATAACGATATTGAAAAAAACATGTTTGTTTTTGTTTATCTTCTATTGAATTTCTTGATGTAGTTGTTGGCTGAACAGATGATGATGCATTTGTTCGTATTGATGTTGTTGTTGTTCGACAAGTATTTGTTGATGATAGGGTTGTACCATTCGATTGATGACGTAAAACATTGAGGGCATAGAGTTGATAGAATAATAATGATGGTGAAAGTGAAGATGATGATACTGAATTAGAACGTGTTTTCAATGGAAGACCATAGAGAGAGCGTCGAAAATTTCTAAATTTGGGAAAAAAAAAATTTATTTATAATTATTAAAATATTTGTTGCTGTCAACAACTAGTTGAATGAATACTACACGAGTTATTGAATCAGATATTAATGAAAGATAGAAATGAATTGTCAAATATATCACATAGAGAATAGCTGTTATTTCTTATTAATATAACTTTTGCACGCATGGAAAAATAAGACAGAATATTTATCTTACTAGAATATGTTTTAGGAGAGTTGAATTCTAATAAAAAGATGTATTTGAGAATTCTTCCTAGAAACCAAATAGTAACCTTATAAGATTCAGATAGAATCATAGATATGATCACTGTAACCGTTAATAGGTATGAGTAAAAACACTAATTTTTTTTGGTTCTAAATTCTTAAGTATCGATTCTTCGAATGTAATTGTTAGTTTTTAGCTGTTTAGCTATATATACATTCACAATCATGTTGTAAGTCTACCGTCAATCAACCGAAGTAAAAAAAAAAATATATTAGTATTTGTTAAAAATTAAATCGCTCATCTGATCAGAATCAATTAAAAATCATGTAGTCACCTTTATGGACTTTTTTGCCTATTTATTTTTTTACTACGTCATTCTATCACTATCTATGACATACTGCAAAAAAAAAATCTTTAGTGATGATGTATAATAGATCGAATATAGGTAATAACACAAAAAGGCTTATCGAATCCGGATATACTCTTTAGTTCTTTTTTATATTTTTTTCTATTTATGAAACTAAAAAGCCATTGTCTTTTGATCGGATTTCAGCGTTATTCTTTCAATTCAATAATCATATTATTACCGATATATTATCTATGATTGTAATATTCCATGTAGTAAACAGAATCGAAATAAATGAATTGACTTGTATATTTATCAATGACTATTTTTTTTTTATTCATTCTTAATCTCTTTTTGTTATCATTGGTACACAAGAGACATTCTACAACGAATTTATTCATGTGATTTGTAAGTATAAGTCTAGTTTATGAATTACATCATTCGGAATAAAATATTCAAAATCCCCAATGGAAGAAAAAAAAGGAACTAAGATAAAAAAAAAAAAGAAGAAAGAAACAATAACTAATTTTTAGTACTGATGAATATATAGGTTGTTATGCGCTTGCTATTATTCCGTAGACATTCGGGAATACAAAAGAAAAAAGAACATGTTTTATCGTTTTCATTATCTCTTCATTATTGACGATCTGTCAAACAACAGAACAATTTTCTCGATCTAGAAGAAAAAGGCTGGTGTATTCCGATCAAAGTTTCCCGTCATTTTTATTTCTATTGACACTTTCCAGAACGTTTTTCTAGTTTAGGATTATTTCCTTGTTACGGTTTTTCTTTTCTTATTAGCAGGTTACATTTTCAATAGCAGCAAATAAAACAGATGTTCAATAAAATAAAGACAATTACGATAGAAAAAACGACGTAAATAATAAAAAAATAAATTAGACTAGAAGCAATTTTTTTCAGAAAATAGAATAAAAACAACGAAAATTCCTAATATGTTAAGAGTTATGAATAAGTATCTACCTGATTGTATTTGTCGATACTTTTGTTATTGGTACTAATGTATGACTATTGGCATCAAATAACGATGAATCATCAACGATAGTTTCACGTGAATTGATGGCATCATTGACAACTTCAGATAAATCAGCTACTGTATTCATCCATCCAACATACGTAAGAATCGTGCTTGTAACAATGAATATTGGTTATTTACGACAAATGGTGTGATGACAGTAGCCGAAGATAAATATCACTTCCGATGTACGCATACAATCTCTAAGCCATCACACTATTAACACAAACACAAAAAGGCGACGGTCCGATGTCGGTGACGACTAGTGTATTATGTACATGTTTGCACACTACGATGAGAAAGCTTGCAAGTAAAAAAAATGTTACATAAAGAAAAAAAAATGACGCTTTATTTTTTAAATAGATAGATTTCAAGTAGCACTTATTATTTTTTCCCCTTTTTTCTTTATGCGTAAAAAGTATAGAAAGAAAATCATATGCATTCAAGTTAGGTAAAATTGCATTAGACACTTTATACCAAGATTTAGATATGTGGAAATTAAGTTAGTTCACATAAGCAGACATTGCCTCTAGCTTTCGGCTGTCTGTCACTATGATACAAGAAAAAGAAAAGGAGATTTCATCATGCAATTAGAACTAGAACATACAAGCTAGTGTCGCATCCCATCAAAGTGATTGTAAGATCTTTCTATTTGTGTGTATGTGTATTTTGCTTTTCATAAAGAAGAACGAGTGCGAGAAAATAAAAAAAAAGGCAAAAAAAAGCAACGAGAGAAAATACATTCAGGAAAACAGAAATTGATATAACAGTAAAAATAGATTCGCTAGCGATTTTTTGTCAACAAAATAGCATTCATATATTCCGGAAACGGTATGCTATCTTTGTTATTATATGACGAATTTTGAACTGAAAATATAACAATTATGTTATCAAGAAAAACATGAGAGAAAAGTCTGTATATATCTACATATATATATATTTGTGTGTGTAAGACGTTGAATGAAACATTTGACCGGATATTCAGTGACATCGTTCATTACGTTTGCGTGAGAATAGATGGGTGGCAAGAACGTTCTTGCGCGACAAGCTACTTCCGTACTCGCTCTACATGTCTGCCTCACATATACTATTGAGTTACTGATTTTCATTGTATGATGTGTCTGTAAAACTTACAAACGAAAAAAGAAATGACTATTAGTATTACTATTCATCATTACCAGCACGTCTTTCTTTTTTTTTTAATGTTTAATATTGTAGAAAACCTTTTTCTCTTTTCTTTTCTTCGTAATTTAGTTTTCTTCTTGAATCTTGCTTTCTTTAATAGCTTTCTTCTCTTGTACCTCCTCTAAATTAATCTTTATATTTTATTATCCTAGATGGAATCTTTTTTTCGCCGTATGTCATCAATCGTTAGAAGAAATAGTAATAAATCTTCTGATGTAGATGAACATGATGAAGAAGATAACGAACAGCAACAACAACGTTTTCGACAAATGCGAGAACGTCGACTTTCAGCACCTGATATTCGTCGACGTGCAATGCCAGTTGATCGAATTTCATCAGAATTTGATCAAAAAGCTACATTATTCGAACAAACGAATTCTCCAAAACTGATGACACGAACTAATACTAATATTGTTACTCGTAAAAACTATAGATCTGCAGGTGAGTTACATTTGTTTATTTCTTTAAAAATAAATAAGAATATCATTGTGAATTTAAGTAAATTGTAGTAAAACAAGAAAATTTCTCTCTTAACCTATAGAAGAAACAGAATCTTTTAAACATCTAGATAATTGTTCTTGTTCTAGTATAATATTCTTTTTTTCTTATATCTGTGATCGTCAGCGTTCATATGAATCGATAAGCTATTGATAATTCTAAATGATTGCTTGCAGAACGATCTAGTTGATAATTTTGAACCTCTTTGATATTCACTGATTAATTTTGATTTTTAAATCAATCTTTGTTTATCTGCTAGTTATTGAGAGATATCATCTCGGAATTTTCCTTATTGGTTTCTTTTTGTATCAAAATAAAGAAATATTTCTGATACAAACTCAATTCGATAATAAATATTCTTTATCTTATTTAATAGAAGACATGATAGACTTAACATATATTCATCTGGTTTGAATATAATTAGCTTGATTTTATTTGCAAAATAGTTTTGTAAAATGCAAATAAACAATTGTTCAAATAATGAATTGAAAAAGCAGAGTTACTTCAAGAAAAAAACAGAAAAAAATTATTAATAATAAATTATATCTTAAAAAAGAATGATTCATTTCATCTATGAACGGAAACAATTTTCATTAGAAAATTTTATAACTTCAAACTTTGTAAGACTTTGTAGAGCATAAATCAGGTTTCATTCATTCTTATTTTTTTTTTATCAAAACTATTGTTCTATTTCCTTTTCTTTTAAGCACAAAATCATTTTATTATGTGCACTTAAATATATGATACTTCATGTGCATTTGTCTTTTAACGTAAATGATTGATATGCGAATCCATTCATGCAAACCGAAAAGGAATAAAAATAAAATGTTAATATACTTTAAAAACTAAATTTATTAAATACTCTATTTTAATTTTGAAATGAAATAACGATGATGAGAAAAAAAAAACATGCTTTTAAGTAATCAAAAGCATTATATAGTCGAAACAAATATTAACATTTTTACGGAGACAAAGATCAACTATGTTTTTTTTTTTTTTTTTGAGATTTTTTTCTCTCTTTATCTGTTTCTCTATTCATTTGACATTATTGCTTTGCATTTTTTAAAAATGAATAATAATAAATGCGTTTTCTTGTTTTTTTTTCTTCACTAATATAAAAACGACTTAGTCGAGTGTTTTTTATTCATAGTAATTTCTTCTAATTTGTACGATTATAAGTGCATTTATAATAAGTTTTGACATGATCAATCACTATATGACTTAATGAGTTGCATTGTTATATAAAAGCATCTTGTTTAAATGTAAATATTATACGCACAATTTAATTAGACTCTTTGAAAACTAATATGACATTATTTCCAGGCTTCAATCCTATGGATTTAATCGCCGGAAAAACAGAAATAAAGACGTACGTAGTTGTTCTTTTTGTTCAATCTACGATAATGTCACGCAAATTAGTTATTCACTCTTTTTTTTCCTGTATAATAGTTTTCTCTTTGTCTTCTCGTATAGATAAATATATATATCTATATATGTCTTAGTCTTGTATACTTAGTTGATTTCCGTATTTTTTTTCTAATATCACATGAAAGATTCATCTTAGGTCTTAATGACAATTCTTATGTGAATAGGTGTTCATTAAAATTGATTTTAACTGATGAACACACATACAAACAGAGATATACTACGTGACACATAGAGTAAAAATTTTTTCTTAGTTTCCTTTCTTTTTTCTTTGGGTTGTCTCCAACCGGAAGTTGAATAGTTGGAAATATGTGCTCATTCTGAACAATGTTACCGGATTGGATTAATCTGAGAGAAATGACATAGACACCCACGTTATTGTTATTATGATGGCAATCCCTAATCAAACTATTTTCGTGATGGTGATCGTTGTTTATATAGACAAGGACATGTCATCTAACATATGATCCAGATGATGGAAACAAGGATAATAAAAAAAAAAGGTCTTGAAAACAAAGAACCAAAAGGCACACGAACGATTCATTGTTTTTCTCGCTCATGACACGGCTGCTCGATCGCCTACACTCATCACCAGTATTGACTATGTTTCCTCTATGATTACGTCTGTTATTGTTCCCGTGGGACAGCCAGACAGAAAGAAAAGAAGATGGAAAAGAGTGGTGACGAAGAAAAAATCCGAAAGAAAAATGAAGAAAGAGAGGACCGTACACGAGAGAAAAGCAAGAATAATCATCATTTTTTTTATTAGTCGTTGTCTAAGTCTTACACCTGCGTGACTAGATTTATTGGATAAACATGCCTATTCCCACTGTAATTTTCGTATATTATATTGTATTGTACTTGCTGTTCATGTGATTATTTCTATTAATGAATATTATTCTTGAAGAAAAAAGAAAATAGATTGACGTATAAACATTAATTAATTTATTATTTAACAAAAAATAAATAATTATGGCTAAATGGGGCTCATTTTTTCGTCGATTATTTACTTCAACTTCTTCTGATAATCAATATTCATCATCATCATCATCCTCATTAAAATCAGAATCTAGAAAAAGTATACTTGTCATGTCACCTTTATCACCATCAAAATCAACAAAATCTCCTTTAACTACAAAGACTAATCAATCATATTCAGCATCACCTCGATCATCACCTCGCACGATGATAAAGCAAATAACACTAAATCCTGATAATAGAAATAAAACCCTTCATTCTAATTTTCTTTCATCAGATGTCGATAAAACCAATATGCGTCGTCTTAGTGCTCCTCTTATTATTCATACGTCAACTCATCATCATCCTCAATATTCATCAACAATAGTAAATGAAAGTACGGAAGAAGCATTGCTGTCATCATTACAACGCCTTTCAGTGTCGTCTTCAACAACAACTACGGCTTGTCCTAACAACAGTTTTCATAGTTTAGGTATTAATAATGAAGGTTCAACAAGTCCATTATCACGTCCTGATGTTCGTTCAGCGTCTCTCAATTTATCACTATCGCCGAGCTCGTTAAGCAACAATCTAGTAAACAATATTTTGTCAACATCAGGTAGGTAGAGAAGGTTCTTTTTCTTTAGAAATATAACTTGGCACATTGAAGTGCTCTATACAATCGAAGTATATATAAGTTTTGTTGCTTTTTTTTTCTTTAATTTTTATTCTTGAGTTCATTTTGTTTTGTGGTTAATAATATCAATCAAGCAAAGACGATTTGTATTTGTTAAGAAAAGAAAAGAAAAAGGCAAAATAAAAGAGCGATCATTTCTAATCAAGCAGAATCGAAATTGATCGCTTTCTTTGCTTACTTGGATCTTCTTGTTGTTTTTTTTTATGTGCAATGTATAATCTATCTAGCAATCTAATTTATACAAGGAGATGAATATTTGTATGATGTCAACAGACATTGATGGAATGACGTCTATCATTTATGTTGTTCTTCATTTATAAATGGTTTCTACGTTGTTTCAATTTTACACAAAAGATTTCTGAAGGACAGCAATGATGATAATGGTGATAATGATGATGATGATGATGATAATGATAATGATAAGAGAATACAGTTTCATTAAAAGAGACCACACATAGAAATGAAATGAGAATGGGGAAAACGGAAATTAGACCGGTGAGAAAGAATAGATTCAGAAGCACTAAAATATAAAAAAAAGACAAAGATGAAGAAACATGATGAATAGGAACATGGAGGAATGAGAAAAAAATAACGGTGTCGTGATTGTGACTTCTTTAAATTGTCTTCATTTGAAAGACATGAGCATTTTATAAATACAAGGTCGATCTGATTATGTGTATGCCTTGGATTTCCGGTGTCGACATGCTGCATGTTCATTAGTTGAGCGTGCCTTTTGGGAGTGTGTTAAAAGGGTTCAATATTCTTGATTTTTTTTGCTGTCTCTTTCTTACTGTCATTCTGTCCCCAACATAGTTAAGAGAAAAGATGATCATTGAAAAGAAGATGAGATAAAAAGATTGTAACTGCTTGTATGTCTTCGATTATTTTTTATGCCAATGCTTATCGGTTTATAGAATTCTCAATCGATCTTAACTTATCATCGATGTATAGTAGTACTTATTATTAAAATCTGATAGAATATTAAAACGAGACAGAATGACATTGAGCAGCTATACTTGTTTTTATAACAAGAAAATGCCCATTACATTTGTGTCTATATATGACTATCATCGTTTGCATAAGTAAACGTGACCAGAGCATAGATGCACACATTTATACAGATCAGTACTCTGACACACATTACGCATTCTCTTTGTATGTGCGTCTCCATTTTATTATATGTTGGGAGTGCCAAAAAATGAGAAGGCGACGTAAACAATAGCAGCGACAGCATCGAGGAAAGTTCATCAAGCTCTTTTCTTCTTCTTTTTTTCTATGTTTTTCCTTTGCTTTCTCTTTCTTGTCACCATTAATAAAATTTGCGAGACACTCATGACTAAATCGGACATGAAAAATCGGAAATTTTTCTCTTTATATGTCTTATTTCATTTGATATAGGCACACCGCCAACACAAGCCGTCGTTGGTACACAAACATCACCACGCGTTAGTATACCATCAAATAGTTCGCCGTCACATATCAATGTTATGAAAGATATTTCACCAGTGGTTGAAACTGCAACAAGTATTAATTCGGATAGAAAAATGTCATTACCACCAAGAGGACGACGTCCATCTATGTTTGATCCAATTGATCCTAAAGAATTACAACAAGCTTTATATGCTTCAGCTGCTGCTGTAAGTTACATTTAATAATTTGTAAGAATTTTCGTTGAGAAAAAAAAATAATTTCTATTTTAGAAAGGTTCTGTGCCAACAAATCTAACAAATGAAGATGATTTATATCGAGCTATGTCACTGATAAAAATCAGTTATGATCGTGATGGTGAACATGTTTTTATTGATAGTTTATCTTTTGAAAACATACAAATGCTTGATGCATTTGTCACTAATAATAATAATAATACTAATATAGCCTTATCATCAACAACTACTGCTAGTGCTAGTACAAATTATAATGATTTTACACCATTTTATTGTCGTTTTCGATTATGGCCTGAAAAACGTAGTCTATTTCAAACAAAAATAGTTCGTCATCCACGTTTTCAAACATCTTATTTATTTGATGTAAAACAATTAAATGATTTTGAATTATCATATGATCAATTAAATAATCATTGTATTGAACTACTTTTATATAAAGTAGGAACAACAAAACCATCATATAAAGATATTCGTATTGCTACAGTTAAATATGATCTTGGAGGTTTAAGTGAAGCGGATCAAATTTCATTGAAAAAACCTTTAGATGAGTCTGATCCATCATCAATAATACACGTTAGAAATTTATTTATTTTTTATTCTTATTAACAGACATTAATATATGTTATTCATTTTGTTTTAATAGGATCCAGATTTAGGTGATTTACTTGTTTCATTATCGTATTTACAAAGTGCAGCTAAACTAGCTGTTGTTGTACTTGAAGCAAAAAGTTTACGACCACTTTCTATTGAAAGTAAACCATTTCCAGGTAAAAATTTTAAGTAAAAAAAAGTAATGAAAGAGTTTTTTTGTTTTATATATTATAGAAGCATGTGTGAAAGTAACATTATTTGATCGTAATGGAAAAAAACTTAAACGTAAAAAAACTAGTGTACAACGTGCATCAGATTGCCCAACATTTAATGAAGAACTTGTTTTTGAATTACGTCGTGATATAGCACAAGAAGTTATGATTGAATTACGTGTTGTACATGAGTCTTTATCATATAAAGAACAACTTGGTTCTATTATATTTGGTCCAACTATAAACAATATGACGAAAGGATCCATTAATCCTGAAAATATTTATTGGTCAACGATTTTATCTGGTGAATCTTTGAATGCACAATGGCAAATGTTAAAAGCACCAATACGAATAGAAGAATCGAAGTGATAAAAAAATTTTTTGTCTAAGATAAATAAATGAGACTAACAAAGAAACACTCTTATTTTTTCTTTTATGTGTGTCTCTATGTGGCGTCTAGTCATAATTCTTTTTTTGTTGGATAAAAGAAAGAAATATATATATGACTAAAATAATTAAACAAATTTAGTTATTGAATAATATATATTTATATTATAATAATTATGAATAACGTATTACTGAACAAATATTTCGAAAAATGAGAAAACTACGAACAAACTTCTATATAAGTTTTATTTTTTGTAGTCAATAAAGATCTATTTTATTGAGACCAGAAAAGAAAATAATGTGAACGTTAATGTTCAATTATGCTATTCATCAATAAATAACGATAAAAAAACGCGAAGGTATCACTTGAAGTTTTCCATGTATAAAGAAAAAGTACAATGTGTGCATTAAGGTTTATAAAATAATAATAACAATGTCTGTATTCTCATTCATGATGCAAGTACGTCTTTAATCTATGGAAGAAAGCATCATTAGAAAAAAGTACATCCAGTACAGAAGTAGATTATGTCAAATAGTACGATTTTAACATTGAACTTTAGATTAATTTTTTTAAACAGAAAAACAGATGCAGAAATGTTGGAAATCGATTTACGTTCATCTATTGAATAATTGAACTATTACAAAAGAAAACATATTTCAATTATGATCGTATACTTTTCTTATGTAAGTCGATCTGAATGAAATAAATTAGGATAGTTTTTATTTTCCAAACTATACTGGATAATTATAGCTAGAACTTGTGACGAATAACATATAGATAGCTGAATTGTAAATTCATTTGATATATCTAACACTTGATTTTTATGTAAAAAAAATAATGAAAAGAATTTTTTCTTAATTTATATTCGTCTACTCGAGTAAGTATTACTTAGTTATAATGCATTTATCTGATTGCTATATTCTGTTTTCTTAGTAACTTCATTTTCTTTCTGTCTTGGGGCGTTTTTTATCGTTTTTTTTCTTTCTGATAAATGTATTTTAGGTCGTTTTTGAGTAACATGTGTTTCTTCTCCCATACATTTTCTTTCCAAAATAAGAAACAGTAGTTCGATTATATCATTTAATCCATTAATAGAAACATTTTATAGACATGCCTGTATTCACTTTAACAAAAATGCTGATATAGACTCTCGATTAATTGTATTGTCAAGCATAACCCCTGGGAATACATCGTGATGAATAATTCTATTAGTACTTAAGGATTTGAAAGCATTCCATCGCAAATAATTAAAAAGGTCAAAGCTGTTCAAAAAACAATCAAAAAACGATTTTCTCAAGATGAAATTTTTATCGCCGACGGAACACCATGAAGATATATGTGGAGAGCAAATACGATTACAACATTCGAGAAATCATAAGAAGATAGTATCATTTAAAAAAATAATGCAACAATCCCATTATAGTTTTTATTTTAAGATCTTTCTCATGATTTTTATTTATTTATATATCAATAATCTTCTTTAAATTTGACAAAATATAATATGTATGATTAATAATTTTAGAATAATTATAAGTTTTTTTAATTTTTGAGTTTTAATTTTTAGTATAATGAGCATGAGATGAATATAATAAATAATTGATGACAATTTTTTTAATTTTAATTTTGATACTTTGTAAAGATTACAATAAGAAAAAAAAAGGACAAACAATAAAAACGATGAAAAAAACGTTTATGAAGATGAATTCATAAATTATTTATAGCATGAGACTTTTCGAATTCTTATTATTCTTTGTCAAGCGATCTAAATTTGAAAAAAACACTAGTTCATCTTTTCGAAGCGTGCCTAATGACCTGTCTGAAAAGAATACAACAAACAACAAAACTCCTTGTCTCAGTGGAATATCTTCTTGTGCAAATATAGCTAAGTACCCTTTAAGTGAAACTTATGAGCTATAAGTAAAAGTTTGGTGTGGGTGTGCAAGTATATGTGTAGATGAAGAGGAGACACATGTCCACATGCTTCAATACAGAAACTTAGTATAACATGTGAAAATACAAAACAATGATAGAAATCAAATAAAATTCTACGTGGAGTCAATATCAAATTCAATCATAGTTTCAACATTGGACAGAATTGATTCGTATGATCCTACATTACTCTCTTTAAAAAACTATCATAGAGATTTCGAATCATCATAACAGATTGGAGTTTTGACAAGAAAAAAGAAGTAAGATCAAATTATCTCTGAGATAACTCTTCACCAACGCAAAAAAGTATCATTGTCATCTATCAAATTTTTTGTCCCGTCGATTTCATGATGTGTTATAAAAGTTATACAATTGGACTGTTATATATCATTGCCTATGAAAATTATCATAAAAATAAGACATGTTCGATTCTAACGTTAATTACAAAGAGCAACAAGTTTGTTTTTTGTGTACATTAACATGGTAAAAATATTACGTGAATAATATGGAGAAATTTTAAAGATCCGATTGGAAAGAAAGTCAAAGAAGAGACAAATATTTGACACACCATACTAGAGTGTTGTCACTAGAGTATTTTATTTGCTTTTCTGAATACGGAAGCAATTATTTTGTTAATTCATACGTCATCAATGCCATAAGGAATTAGAATGCATATAAATGAAAATTTCTGTTGAAATATGATTTTGTTTATCAATATGACAGAAAACAAATTAACAATTACAATACTAATTTCAAATTTCTTGCATAAGTTGCTGGAGTTTTCTCTTGTTATCTTCAAGTTTCTTTCGTAAATGTTTGTACGTCTTAGCTACTAGCGCTTGTCAAACTGTTCCACTTGCGATGCATCGCCTTAGTATAATAATGGTTATGGTTCTACGATGTTCAATGTCAATGTCTATAGACTAGTGAATTGTTGCAGTTCGATAAAGTAATCAACTAACTCATTCTCATTAGTGAACCGCTTTGCTATCGATACTTGGCGTGATTGACAATTGGTAGGCACTGCTGTCTTGGTAGTCATAATTGATCCTTGCCTACTAATAGAGTGAGATTTCTTTTGTTTTCTCTGTGGAAGCTGCTAGGTTAGAAGGAGAAGAATAAACATTTCGTTGAGTAAACAGTGACGCAATCGAGTTTATAACACGCTGTAAAATCGAATAGAGGTTGCCTTTGACACTAGCATTATTTGATCTTTCATATATCTGTTCAGACATAAAATAAAGATTGTAAAAGAAAATGGAGTCAGTTAAGGATAGTGTCATTCTTTTCTTCTGATGCTTCTGCAAATAACTTGAAGTCTAGATTGTAACGAGCTCACATGCATTCTTTTTCGAGTTAACTTAGCATGTTGTAGTTCAAGAATAAGTGCTTTACTCGCGAGAAGTCCAATTATTCTATCGTTACTTTATACTTGTTACTTAATCGATTATAGTCAAGCTCAATTGATATTCGTCATGTAGGAGTTCAACCGAAGTATTATGATCGAATGATTTCGATGTATTATACATAGGGTGTGGGTGGGGTGGGTGTGGGTGTGGGTGTGGGTGTGGGTGTGAATAGAGATAAGACACTCATCAACACCCACACCCACACCCCAACACTTTTCCAAAAAACGCTTAAATTTTTCGGGTCGTTTTCAAAAGAAACAGCAGTCATGGCTTCTTGGAAAAAAAATACACGTAAAACATATAATGAATACCATTACTCATCTTTCACAATTTCAAATCTTTCATCTTGTACATTTAATGCTTCACCATTAATTATTTCTTCTGTTGAATACAGTTTACGAATCAACTTACAGTGAGTAGCAGTTATTGATAAATCAGCAGATATTGAATCGAAGAGATTTTTTTCCTTGTATTTCTATTATTAAAAGCAAGTCAAAGCAAATTGATATAACAATGATCAATCACTCACGTAGATTGGTAATTGAACTGGTTTATTAGCCGAGACTTGATCCAATATTGAACAAAATTCACAAAAGAAGGCAAGATTAAAGAAACTCACAAGTTTATTTGCATGAAGTAATGAAGTTGTCATTTTTTTAATTTTCTCATGCCTTTTACGAAGTGCTTGAAGACCATCAACAATAACTCCTTGTTGTTTCATAACAGTTTCCAAGAAATTGCTAATATCATTCATTTGCTTTCCGTATTCAAGCAAAGATTCATCATGTTTTCGTTTAATTGATGGTGATGATGAAGGAATATAATCTAAATACACAAAAATCTTTTTCACTATAGATTGATGTTATTACAGGTAGAACTAACCATCATCATAAATTGTCCTTCGTGAAGACGCTTTTCGATGATAGGAATTTGGGTGTGGATGTGGGTGGGCGTGGGCGTGGGTGTGAGTGTAGGTAGAAATAGGGAGAACTACCACTTGAACACCCACACCCCACACACACACTCACACCCATACACACACCAACACTCACACCCACACCCATCCCACACCCAGAGATGGAACCAGTACCGTTAATCGGCCCGGTCCGGTACCGGTCTGAACTTTGGATCGACCGGTCTACCGGTTTAAACCAGTCTGATCGGTCCAAACCGATCTATATTTTTCACTTTCCCGCTCTATGATGGTAATCATATGAAAAAAATAACTGGCACCAAGACTAGTTCCACTGATCACACAGGAATTTATTTAAAAAAAAAATTTCAAAATACCCATCAGTGAGACTATTGTTATCAACGGGAAAACATTATGCCAGTATGCGTGAAAGTACGACGGTAGCCTCAAGAGAGTTCACTATGAAACAAGGCTTCATTTCAAGCCTTAGCCTGTTGTCTGTAGATCGATATTTTGTCCGTAGGTCGGTTTTTCTTTTATAAACTGACGTATTATCAGCATCCTGTTTAGTATCGGTAGGCTAGTTTTGCCAGGTAGACCGATCAGATCAACTTTTTTCGGTAAATCGGTTTCGGTCGACCGGTAAAACCGGTAGACCGGCCGGTCCGCTCCAGTCTTATTGCTTTAGACCGGTGCCGGTACCTGTCTGAAAAAAACTAGACCGGTTCCATCTCTGCCTTGTGCTGTCATCCAATATAGTGCTTGTCCCATTACATCAATATGTGGTACGAATCGTTTTGATCTACGCAAACAACGAAATCGTTCTCTTCCTTCTTGCCATTTTGGTCTATGAGTGTTCAGTTCTGATTGTTTCAATAATAAGAAATCATCCCGAGATTTCGATAAAGTTTTTGAATATTTTTCCCAGTAGCTATAGTATCGATCATCTAGAGATTTCTCATGATATATGTAAGAAAAGACGAAGTCATCCCATTGTTGGCAGCGATGAACACGTTTTAACGGTGTGAAATAAAGGTGATTCAGGTCCTGACGCTGAGATTTCGTGAATAGAGGATAAATACCGAATAACCACGTAAAGTAAGGTAGAACAAAGGTCGAGAATAAAACTGTTCGAAGTTGAGTAGATGATGTACCATTAATTTTGACGAAATTTATCAATGCAGTTCTCTGGTGAACCTTGACTCTCATTTTACTGATAACATTTCCCCAACCTAGTTTCGTCGTTGACCAATATCCTAGATATTTGAATGAGGGTGTCCGTTCTATAATATGATCTCCACATCTAATTTGTGGCAAAAGGATATGGATAACAGATAGCACGGGCTGAGAACATGATTTCCGTTTTCGAGTAGTTAATAGGTTGTACTGCTAGTATTGAGTAGAATTCCAATTGTTCGAAAAACATTTTTAATCTACGTTCCAAATTGACACATTGCTCTGTGAATCTTATTCCGATTTGTCCCGCCAATACTACTGCAAGATCATCTGCAAAGGAAAAAGACATCACCCCGGGAATATAATTCGCCATATCACTATGATACATAATGAATAGTGTTGGTGTTAAACTGGAACACCTTGCGGACCATCCCTGCTAATCTTGAAGCACCTCGATCTTTTACCTTGTATTTCAATGGTAGCCTGGCGATCATTTAACCATGCTTGAATCCATTGAACATAAGGACTTGGAATTCCCATTCTTATCAGCTTTCCCAGACAATCTTCAAACCAAAGTTGATCAAATGGAGATTTGAAATCCACGAAAATCATCGCAATCGGAGAACTATGTGACATGTAGGATGAAATTTGTTCAATGAGCAGCAACACACGTGTTTGACATCTGTGCTGAGCACGAAATCCAGATTGATTATCCGGAAGAATGCCACGATCCTTTAATGCTTGTAGAAAACGATTAAGGAATAGACATTCTTGTATTTTTTAAATAGAGTCAAGCAATAAAATAGGTCTTGTTTGATCCGAAGAACAAATCGCATTTTTCTTGGCCAGTAGTACCATTCTGACTTCTTTAAATTTCTTCAGTATGTAGCCATTGGAAAAAGAATCATTGTACAGCTTTATAAATAGGTGCCAGTAGTTTTTAGGTATTTTATCCAATATAAATGGTGATAGTTCATGTATATCTAGCGATTGTTTCTTCTTTCTGGAACATAGTACGCTTAGTGTTTCTGGATAAGTGACTGGTGGAATCGGTTCAGACATATTTAAGTCATGAGCAATAGGAGCATCAGCATAAGGGTGTGGACGTCTGACCACTGGTGCTTCAAAAAGTGGTTCGTAATGATTCGCTGCTGTCTTCATCATTGCTTGCGGATCCTTAATTATTTCACCATTCGACAATAAGAACCATTTTAATGATGACGAAACAGTCCAAAAATGTCTTTTTGTTTTAATCCAGAATACTGTTGAACTTTCACCAGGAACGTTTCTTTCCTTTAACTGTTGAGTAAGTTTTGACTATTGATAACGCTTTGATTCGAAATGGGGGAGATTCCTAAGACGACGAGCTTCCTGTCGGAGCGCGATATCACCTTTACGCTTAGCTTTGTACGATAGGGATCGGCTTTGTGCTAAGAGTTTCACAAGTTCAGGTGGTCCCGATGGTCTGGCACGTTTGAGTGAAAAGTATTCTGTACACCTTGCAGTTAATAATACTAAAAACGATATAAAGTGCTCATAAGTGTAATCATACATTCCGAAGTACCATTTCTTCTCCCAGAATTTAGATGTATAGGACAGTATTAATGAGAAGACAGGTCATCTTGTACGAGATCCTTCAATCTTCCAAGCTGTAACACAAGTCGGCACTCCAAGAAGAGGCTTATGATCACTGCTGTTGTTACATTGACATGTTTGAATTGTTAAATTAACATCGACAGCTAATGCATAATCAATAGTACAATCCGAGCGAAGAGATGTATTAGAATCCGGGGCGGGAGGGCCAAACCAGCATGAGCCCATCCATTCCAGTAAGCGTTCTGCTTTTTCCCCATCCTTTTCTAAATCGATGTTAAAATCACCCATAATCATATAACGATTAGAAATAAATGATGATAAATCCATCCACTTCCAAGTTTTGCTTGCTGGAGCATAGATTGCAACAAGTCTAATTGTTTGTTCTACCAGTAAGTCTATTGCACAGACATTTGGCAATGGACGTGCAATTCTTGGAGGTGGAATATCATTATGTATCAGTACACTGTAAAAAAAAAGGGCAGAATCATAAACCTTTGCACTAAGTATAAATTTTCATAAACCCTTGAAGGGTTTATGATAGCGTCATAAACCCTTCAAGGGTATATGAAACCAAGGGTTTATGAAACTAAGGGTATATGAAAATAAAAAGGGTTTATCACCTTGAAATTCAAGGAAATGGGATTATGATTCCACGCCTAAGGGTATATTATTCTACTCTTTCAGGAAAATGGTTTATGATTTTCTGCATAAGGGTATATCATTCTGCCCTTTCATAAAAAGAGTTTATGATTCTACGGGTAAGGGTATATTATTCTACCTTTCATAGAAAGGGTTTATGATTCTACGCCTAAGGGTATATTATTCTACTCTTTTATAAAAATGGTTTATGGTTCTACGGATAAGGGTATTTTATTCAACTCTTTCATGAAAAGGGTTTATGATTTTGCACATAAGGGTATTTTATTCTACCCTTTCACAAATAGGGTTTATGATTTTATGCATTAAGGTATATTGTTCTACCCTTTCATAAAAAGGGTTTATCATTCAACGGATAAGGTAATGTTATTCTGCACTGTAAAGAAAACAGTATAATAATAAATCTTTGCGCTAACTACAAATTTTCATAAACCTTTGAAGGGTTTATGAAAGCAAGGGTATATGAAAATGAAAAGGATTTATAACTGCTATCGAAGGGTTCATTATACTAGGATTTACGGAGACGGGTTTATTATTCTACAGTTTCAGCAAAAGAGTTTATTATTTTACCCTGAATAGTTTATCGTTCGAATACTTCAGACAGCACTGTGAAAAAAGTACAATTTTAAAAAAAGCGTAGAATCATAAACCCTTGCACTGAGTATAAATTTTCATAAAGCCTTCTAGGGTCTATGAAACCAAGGGTATGTGAAAATAAAAAGGTTTTTTGAATGTCAGAAATGGGTGTAGTACAGTTGGATTTTAGGAGAAGGGTTTATTCTCTCGTTCTGAAGGGTATATTGTTCTATGTGTTCAGCAGTAGGGGTTGGCAGTTACCGTTACCGTTCCCGGGTAACTGGTAACGGTTCCGTTACCAGTTACCCGAGAACGGTAACGGTCCGTTACCAGTTACCCGGGAACGGGGTAACGGTACTACAATTGGGGCCACATTTAGATCCTAAAGTCGTACTATTGGGGGATACCCTTAGGTCCTCAAGTCCTACTATTGGGGATACCCTTAGATCATCAAGTGCTACTATTGGGAGACACCCTTAGGTCCTCAAGTCCTATTAATGGGGAGTACCCTTGGGTCCTCAAGTCCTATTATTAGGGGAGACCCTTTGACCCCCAAGTCCTATTAATGGGAGATACCCTTACGTCCTCAAGGCCTATTCTTGAAGGGTACCCTTGGATGTTCAAGTTCTATTATTGGGGGTACCCTTGGGTCCTCGAGACCAAATGCCTAAGCAGTATATTCGCCGTATGGAACTGAGTAGGAGCCCATACATACACCCATCAATCGATAGAGCATCCTCGATAACCCTATGAT